TCAGAGTCATCTAGAGATTCACTATGTGGCTCTTCCCCACCAACAACTGAAATATTATAATTAGCTTAGACTGTTCCACTGATCTGGGTTTTTCTGATATGCCTTAGGCCCCTACGCCTTCTATTTTACTCTTTGACACAGAAAAAGAAAGTAAACAGTGTTTATATTTATTTTACACATAACATGGACTAGCTCATTTGAATTTTTAGGAAATTTCCAAGAAGAACATTTTCATTATTGATGAGAAGAACAGGCACTATTTGCAAATTCATCTTTAATTAAAATTAGATAGCAAATCTCAAATCTTTGCATTCAGATTTGTCATGGCCTTTTCAAAGTTTCTATGAGTGTGTTATACTTTGTAAATCATGCATCTGGGCCCTATAAAAAGCAGTGTACAAAGCAGGGCTAACCTAGTATCAATACATTATAAGTTTGGCACATGTCACTGTGATGTTTTAATACTCTGGCATGAAATGTGTAATAGAAATTAATATACTGTAATTCAGTGTTTTTTTTCTTTACAAAAATATTGAAAATATATTCCTTTTCAACTGTTCAGAAAAGAAAATTATCTCTGGCATAAAAAAGTTTATTTCTCAAATTTAAACTAAATATATTTTCAGAGAAAGAAAATAAATCAAAGATACCAGGACTAAATTGGATTTTTGTGCGTGCTTTGTACACTGCTTTTGTCTTTATGTTTCATACTTTACCACAGTCAACTTTAACTGTATAGCCCTACTTTGTGAGAGTAATAATTTTCATGTTATTTTGTTGAGAATGTGTTTATCATCTCAAAATATATGGTTATTTGGTTAAGATTAATCTTCTTTCAGCCTTACAATGTGAACACAATTTAGCAACAACCAAACTGTCATCATTATGTCAGCAAAAACGTATGTAAATTTCTAGAACCTTATGGATGACTAATGGATTACACTACCAGAGAGAGAAAGTCAAGATGTTTATTTTGCTCTAGAGATACAACAAAATATCTGTACTGATGCCAACTCCATGTACTAAAAAGTATTTCTTTCTACTGAAAATTTTCATCAATTCGATTGCCTTTTAGAAATATGCAGAAGTGAAAAATAAGTGTAATCCTCAAGCATACACATAAACAATTATTCCAGACAAGGTTTTTCAAAACTACCTTAAAGTTGATACTCAAGTGTTTCCTACATTTCTCATTTTGCATAAAATTACTCCATGGGATCCTTGCCCATAGGTAAAACTGAATTGAGAATTCTCTGTAGAAAAATAATTAATGTTTGCTCTGGTTATCTATTGTTGTTTAACAAGCTACCTCTAACTCGGTAGAAAATGACACACACTATTTTGCTCATAATTTCTTGATTCAGTAATTTGGGAAGGGTTCTCCTTGGTGGTTTATCTCGAACCTACATGGCATAAGTCAGGGCAGCTGGAGCTGGAAGATTCACTTCCAAGGTGGCTTCTTTACTCACATGTTCAGTGTCTCCGGCCCTCTCTTTCTATGTATATATATAGTGTCTCAACTTCTAGGCCTTCTCAATGTGATTTGAGCTTCTCACAGGATAGTGGTTTCTGGGTAATGGGACTTCTTACACTGTGGCTGGATTCTCCCAGATTGAGCAATTCAAAGAGACTCAGAAGTTACAATGTATCTTTTGACACAGACTCCAGAAATCCAAGAACATTACTTCTGCCATACTCTATTGTTAACCATTTTGCTAAGATTAACCCAGATTCAAGGGGAGGGAAATGAGAAACTACCTTAGACGGGGAGAGTAGGGGGAAAAAAAATCCATGGCCAACTTTAATCTACCACAATGTTGCCTCAAATTTTAAGTGTTGGGATTTGGGAAACCCAAATTTGGCAAAGTACTTAGCCATTTGTATTATATTGCTGACATTTTAAAAAATTCAAGTTTGAGGATGTCAACAACTAAATGTGCTTAATAACATTTAGAAACAGAAGGAAAATCACTTCTAGAAGTTTTCATTGTTTTACTGAATTCTAACAGTTTTCCAGCTATATCGTCAGGGATATCCAATAATCTCAGTTATCCTTCCCTATCTCTCTCTCTCTCTCTCTCTTTTTTTTCCCACACCTGAGGTTGTCAAAATCAGCATCATTCTGGCTGCAGACCTCCTACTGAAACCAAAAGATGTTCTAACATTAATAGTGCTCCTAATACCAATTTTTGGAAGGAAGATTGGGCAACCTACTTCTTTAGTGATACCACCTCAGAAACCCAAGGAGGGATTGCTGTGCATCACATCCGACTCCACAGCAGTGAGCTTGGTTTTTGGTAATACAAATTTACTATTGAGGTATGCAAACAAGTTACACAATGATTTCTAGGTATGAATAACTACTACTGTGGAAATTGTTAAAATTAACTAATCAGGTACTCTTTGAGATGCCAAAGATCTCATCTGACTGGTTTTGGGTTTCTTTCTCTGAATTATATGGCTGTTTTAACATCTCAGAGAAACCATCTTTCTGGGATGGAAAATGGGCAGGTTTCCACCTTCCTGTCAAAAATGTTGTTTCAAATTGTGTTATAGACTGAAAACTGAAAAGTTCAGCCTTGCATCTAATATGAATTGGAAGCAAATGATTTAAGTAGTTATACAGGGTGGTTGTGGGGTGATGAGTTTTGGCATATATACTTATGTTGGAATTCATATTTATACAAAGCTCACATTTAGAGAAGACCTGAACAGCACATACAGGTGTTGTACCAAGTGAACATGAATGAAATGTAACACCTGCAAGGGTCCCTTCTCCTTGCCTTAGAGCAGTACCTCTCAAACATTTCTGTTAAAGTGTTTAATGGCAGAGGAGAACGAAGGGGTATCACCATCCCAGGGGCAAAAAGTCCAAAATTTGCTCATGCTTTATTTGAAACATTTGAGTGAATTTTGTTTTCTACTCTGTATCAGTTTCCATATGAAAACAATTTCTTCATTCAAATTTCCTTGTAAACTAATGAGACAAGATCATCTTATTGCTTCATGTAATGCTTGGTAAACCACAGAGTACGCTTAAGGTATTTTTATCCAAGTTTGAGATGGATACATATTAGTAAAAATTACTGAGGGTGGTCAATAAATAAATAAATAAAACTAGATTTGGCTTTAACAAAATGTAATGGCTCTGCAAAATAATATGGTGGGGTGGGACAGCAAGAGTGTAATATTTCAAGCACTATCTACATAATTTGAATTGTGGTATTGACAAAGAATGTTGAATGTACCATGGACTGCTAGAAGAAAGAATAAATCTGTCTTGGAGGAAATAGAGCCAGAATGCTCCTTAGAAGTGAGAAGGGCCAGACTTCATCTCTCATACTTTGGTCATGTTGTTCAGAAGGGATCAGTCCCTGGAGAAGAATATCATGTTTGGTAAAATGAGGGTCTAGGAAAAGGGGGAAGGTTCTCAGCAAGACAGATTGACACAATCACTGTGATGTTGGGCTCAAGGATAACAACGATTGTGAGGATGGTGCAGGACTAGGCAGTGCTTTGTTCTTTTGTACATAGGGTCGCTATGAGTCAGCGCCAACTCGACATCACCTAACAACAACAATTTACAAAGTAGTCACCACTTTCTTGGGTCACTCTTGACAACACGTTTACTATTTTCTCTTCCCAGTGTGTGTGCGTGTGTGTGTATGTGCACACATTTAATACTTAAATAACTTTTGTACTAATCATGGGAGAAAGAAGGGCTTCTTATGCACAGGGAGACAGCCCAGGGGGCAGGAGTGCATGGAGGGTTGGACACAGGGAAGAGGTAACTATGGGGAGGAAGTGGGAGGGGAGCTGTTGCATTGTGGTAAATTGTGGTCAATATCATGAGACAAAGTATATGTGAACTGCTGTATGGAAAGTGAATTTGCTTTGTAAATTTTCACCCAAATCACAATAAATAAATAAATAAATACATAACTTTCCTACTTCCACTTCTAGGGTTCATTTAAAAACTAGGACGTGCTACATTTCACATCAGAAAAATTAACAAGCTCTCACTAATGTAATTTTCTCTCTCCCATTTTCAACATAGAAATATACCTCTAACAATCCAAGTTGGATTGGAAAGATCAAAAGTTGAATCAAAAACTTCCAGAGTGATTGAAGTATTGGGGCCAATTCATCTTCCCTGGCTGTATGATATGTAGGAACCACTCTGGTCACAAATTTCAATAAATCATCTACCCAAAATAAACCTAATACATTTCCAGCATATTTACTCAGTTCTCTTGTGGTTCTCTCAGAATGCTAGGATGAAACCCAAGATAGATGAAAGTTCACAGATGCTAAAAGAAATGGTTTAGATTAAAGGCCACAGTTTGAAAGAGATCCTAGCAGGCCTTTGAGTTTCAAGCTTACAGTTTTTGAAATTCAAGAGTTTGTAGTAGGGGACTCAAAAAAGAGGCTCAACATCTTGTGTCCTTATTTGAGTCTGTAAAAAGACAGTAGCACCCATAAATCAACTTGTTACTTTTCCCAACACCATATGATTCATAAATATTCAGGATCCCAACCTAAAAACAAGTTTTAAATAGCCCTGGATTATGTTATTGGAAATAATAATATAAAATCATGTTAAAGGCTGTACTAAAGGGCTGTCTTTTATTTTAAGAAGCGTTAGGTCTCTAGGAGTTAACACTCTCCAAATAAAAATTCTGGCTGATATGCATGAAAAGTTTTCTGTACCAATCATCAATGCAAGATGCCCATGAATCTATCAATCACAGAGTTAAAAAGCTCTGTCATACTGCACATTTAGTACCCAGTGTAACCAATTAGTATTACCATTTCTTGATGCAATACAAACTCATTTCCTTAAACTGCTATTGCACTGAACTCCAGGGTTATAAATGAACAGACGCAAATTGATTTGCATGTAATAGCAGTGGCAATAAACCTTTCCTGGTTCATGCAATTTTCCTCATTTGTTAACAGAGAACAAGTTTAGGATAGATTATTCCCAGAAGGGGACTTACCCAGCTGGACATCTATAACACTTGGCTGATTCTCCATGGGGAACAATGGCTTGGGAGGCTTGTCTGTGAGTAAGGCTGAAAGAGAAAATGAAAGAAGGTAATGGAAAAATTGAGATAAATTACAGGAAAAAAAGATTCTATCATGTATGATATTTAATGTCTGTAGACTTGATGGTGTGTAAACATTTATTAGACAGTGTTCCTACTTGGGTTGTTACTCTATCCATACTGTATCCATTTCCCAGCACATTTAGAGCACCATTGATTCACTGTAAATAGGCAATTTTGACAGCTACATGTTCCAACAAGAGCAAACAAATGGACTATTTTTGAGTGGTTTTTATAAGCTTGTGAGTGTAAAGAAATATAGATTTTTAAATTACAATCAGAGAAACATAAATTCTCATATCTACTTCTTAGTAGCTCTATATATTGTCAAGGGAATATAATGCTAATGGGCAATTCTGGTGGAACGAACCTTCTCAGCCTCTGAATAATCCCTCCACCACTATCCCAACCTCTACAATAATATATTTATCAAAAATACTGACTGAACATCTTTTGTGTACCACATCCTGTGTTAGGAGCTAAGGCAGAAGGAAAGAAAAGTCCCTATTCTTCCCTCAATTAATTTATAACCTATGTTTATGAATATAGGATTGACACCTCAAAATAAATAGAATACAAGACAGAATACAATCCAGAAAAGAATTGTAATATCTGAGCTAGAAGGCTCCATGTGCTAAAAGAATGGAGAAAGGAGGGGTTAATAATAGCTAGAAGAGTTGGTGAAGTTTTATGAAAGACCTATTTTTTCCCCCATCCCTTGAGGGATAGAGAAGATTTGGAAAGACTAAGAGTAAGGAAGAATAAATTCATGACAGATTAACAACACAAACCAAGGCAAAGAGGTAGAATTTAAGAAGAATAATGGGTTAGAAGAGAATGCTCTGGTGCGGAGTGTTGGGTGGATTGGGGTGGAGGGTGAGTTGCTTCATGATATGGAGTAGTTACAAATGAAACTGGATAAATAAGATGTGCCTCGATTCTGGAGGCTCCTGACAACCATGCAGAGGAATTTGGACATGATGTGGTAGACTGGAGAGCGACTGTAGATTACTGGAACAAAAAGATGACTCAAGGAAAAATCTGTCTAAAGACGATGGGCTTCATATATAGCACGGACTGGAAAAGAACAAATTCACCTAAGAAGATGAAGTAACGATACTGCAGTGGTGAGATGAGGAGTCAGACCAGGGTGGATTTGGGGGAAATTAAGAAAAAGGAGTCCAACTTGAGAAATACCTGAAAGAAAGAAATGGCAGAAATTGGCACATAGGTACATAACACCTTATGCCAAGCTTTATAGTGAACTAATATTTATTTCCTGAATTCCTGTTTAATTCTTCTT